AAAACGGCCGCCATCCCGGTCGGGGCGCTTGAAGGCGATTGCGCAGGCGCCGGCGCGCCACGGGCGGCCTGGGAGGGGCGGGGCCGGCCCGCGGAGCGACCGTTGGGCCGCGGGGCGAGGGGCGGGGCGGAGGGGCGGAGCCCGGGCTTCCCCAGGCTAAGGGTCCGCTCAGTCCTCGGGTCAAGGCCTCGGCTTGCTCCGCGACTCCGGACCACAGGCCCGTGGCCCGCCAAGTACGGCCGCACCGCGGTCGACGAGGCCCAGCTCCGGCTGCCCGGGTCCGCGGGGCGACCTGCGGGGCCTCGAGGACATGACTGGGGAAAACCGAGGGCCCGGGAGAGCTGCTGGACGGTAAAGGTGAACAGCTGTTGGTAAAGACACCTGCCTTATCTTCTGCGATAAGGACACCCTTTTCTTTCAAGAGTTTAAGCATTTTTTTTTTTTTTTTTTTTTAAGCTTTTTCATTTATTAGAGCACAGAGGGAGAGTGAGAGTGAGAAGCAGACTCCCCGCCGACCAGGGAGTCCGGCTCTGGGCTGGATGCCGACTCTGGGCTGGATCCCAGGATCCCGAGATCATGAGCTGAGCCAAAGGCAGACGCTTAGCTGACTGAGCCACCCAGGCGCCCAAGAGTTTAAGTTTTCTCTGTTCAACCGTCACCACCCTAAAGAAGTTAGGATAAAATTAGCCTAACTTCATTTGACCTTGTCTATCTCAAAGGCTGAGTTTTCTATGCCCTGGCTCATGGGCACCCACTGGTTTTCCAGCAGCCACCATCAACTGATCGACCATTTTTAAGACGTAAGAATTCTTGCAAGGACGATTTTTAGAATCTTCAGCCTGCAACCCTTAAAGTGCCTCTGGTGCCCACAGAATCACCTGTCTGTACCTTTACCTTACACCAGGTTATTATTTCAATTGCTTTGCAGTTGAAATGTTAAGAGGCACATTCTTGAGTTATTTCTTAATTTCTCTTATTTGGAAACACATGATAGGCAGCTCTTTGGATGTTGCTACTCACTGAGAGATCAAGAAGGGGAGACCAGGCGGGGAAAGACAGATGGCCCTAACATTCCAGGTCGAACCACACAAGGTAGGGAGGAAGCAGTGCCCATGTGAGTGCCTCCCAAGACTTCCTCTGGTTCAAAGGAAGGTCACAGGTGGACAGGACAGGGTGGTGGAAAGCAGGAATGACTCTAGCGCTTCCTGCAGAGGAGAAAGTACCTTCAGCCAGACAATGAAGGACATAAAGGGAGCTCTTAGCACTTGCTAGTTTTTTTTTTTTTTTAAAGATTTATTTGTCGGGGGGGGGTCACAAGCAGGGGGGAGCGGCAGGCAGAGCAGGCAGAGGGAGCTGAGCAAGGAGCCCGATGTGGGACTCGATCCCAGGACCCTGAGATCATGACCTGAGCCGAAGGCAGACGCTTAACTGACTGAGCCACCCAGACATCCCCAGTTTAGTTTTTTTTTTAAAGATTTTATTAGAGAGCGAGAGAATCTCAAGCAGACTCCACGCTCAGTGGGGAATGGGACACGGGGCTCGATCCAGGACCCTGAGATCATGACCTGAGGGGAAAGGAAGAGTCTGACACTTAACCTGCTTAACCAACTGAGCCATCTAGGCACCCCTCAGCGCTTGCAGTTTTATTACTTCACCTTCAGTTTTATTACATGGGAAACCATCTCCTGGTATCCCAGAACTCTTTTATCTTCAGGGGTTCCGAACACCTAGCTTCTATTCAGTCCAGTGCTGCTTTTTCTAGGTCACTTCTGGATGTGGAACTGCATTTTATAGCAACATCTTCTGTTCCCTGTTGATTTCGTAACCTCTGGTACATTCAATAACTTTATTAAATTAGAAAAATATTTCCCCTTTTTGAAAGTAAACCATCACACAGAACTAGAGTGTGCATGCGGAATGAATATTTTATTACTAGATTATAAAAATAAAATACAAAATAATTTTAAAACAGAACTTAAAACACTGTACAAAGCTTTAATATGATACAAATGGGAAAATTAAATAAATAATTACACTTTTATGTACAGATGGCCTATACAAAAGCACTCCATGTTTCTGCCAATACCTTATGTCCTTGGTTGTCTGAGCAAAAATGCATAAAGAGGGCTGCTTGGAGGGAAAAGGGCAATACAATACCTTTGGAGGTATTTCAAAAAGCAACTTCTTATCACTCTGGTTACACGAAGAGGAGGAGAAAGGGAGAAAAACTGTGGGATTACTGAAGTCTTCTAACTTACTGGTTTTGCTCGACAAGAGACTTCTTCTGGTTTGTGGTTCAATCTGATATAACAGCTGCCAGTAGTTCGTAACTTTCAAGAATTATATCTAAGTCAAAACTAGATGTGTCCCCCTCTTTTTTCCTAAAAGCTGCGAACCGGTAAGTAAATGACCCAGTGAAATCAGTGCTGGCAATTTTAGGAATGGGAGTCAGGAGGGGGACGGGAACTGTGCAGGAGGGAGTGTGTGGGCTCAAGCATGGGTCATCTGATCAGTTCTCTTCTTTGTTCAATTCACTCAATCCAATTTCGGAGCCCCAAGTGGCAGAGTGTTGTGTTTCTTTCATCTTCCTAACTGTATTTCTGAATGCTTTTTACCTTAGTGAACTAATTTATCTAACTTGTGAATCATTTAAAAAGAAAATAGTTTTGAAAAGTCCTAAGGGCTTTCCCCTCCCTGGGTTGCTCCCTAAGATAAATCACATTCAAGCCCTGATCACCTTGTTTATCGTGGGTGAATGAAGAACAAAGCCCAGATTCCAAATATGTGGAAATGCTGTGAATGAATTTTTAAGGATTTTATACTGTGTACTATAAGGTGGGGAGAAAGAGTCATATGGCAAGGATAGTGTATATTAAAAACAAGGGTTTACTCAATGTTTTTAGCTGAGTGAGTGAACACTTCCGTACACAATATGAAACGGTATTGAACTACCAAAAAGAGGTAAAATTCCTATCATTAGTGTGTAAAATTATGTCACGGGCAAATTCTCTAGTCACACGGGCTCAAAGATCTGCCTCATGGAATCCTATTCTATAGGTCGAGGAACCCCGAACCACTGGCCCAGGGGTATCGAAGACACATGGCAGCATCACCGGTGATACGTACTATGCCCATACTGTCACTTCCAATTTAACAGGCAGGCTCTGTTAAAGTTCCACAGGATCATGAAGGAAAAGGCTTTACTTCCTTTACATGTCTCCTCAGACCAAAGATCCAGCCAAGTGTAAGGAAATATTCAAATCATTACTGACTAAATGTTACTTGCTGGCTATTCAGTTTTTTGAGATTGTGTATAATAACCACAAAGTGATCTTGATCTTGTCAAATACTTTCATTTTCTGATCCAGATTTGCTCAAGGGGAATAATTAAACATCCAGCTTACATTTTGAAAGTCAGAGCAGATTATCACAACTCAGACAATGTACTGATGGGCCAAGACTCTGTCATCATTTCATGTCCAGCCAAGGATTTCTCAGGGACTGAGGTGTGCAGCATCCAAACTCCCCTTTAAATTCATAGGGACCCTAGTTCCATGTCCTAGAGTTACCTAAGAACTACCGGACTTCCCCAAACACCTCCTGCACATCTCCCTTGCACTGTCGACAACAGATTCTGCAGGCTCCCAAGACTATCTGGGTTAACGTTCTCCTAATTCCAAAGCGGCAGCCCAGCTATTGAGAAAATCCAATGATAGATGTTTCCACGCTCCTCCCCCATCCTCCCAGTGTACCCCAGAGTTCTCCTAGATGATGGCAGGGGAGTGGGGTGTCCGAACCACTACCTGGGGGTTTCCATGCACCACGTCCTCCCATGTGGTCTGAGGACCTGCAGCTGCTGCATGTTCCCTTCTTTAAGTTAAGGTCTAAATCGACACCTCTGGATTCGGGACTCGGGTGACTATTGACCTGGGGGACTACCATAGTGGTTACATACCTTAATCCTGTAATACTTCTTGTGTTAAAACCTAGATAAGTAACTCTTCTGCAAACAAAGTGTACAGACCCAAACTCAAGAAAGTTGAATAAATTCCGCTGTCATCAACCATTCTAGCTCTCCTCAGTGATACAGGTGCCAAAATATGTCTCTCTTTAGGCAGAGTCCCAACACATCTGTGGTAAATGCACATAAACAGAAGTGGGCAGAATATAAAAAAGTGAATGCAAACAACTTAATTCCAAAATACATGAACATGACAGAAGAAATGATTCTTTAACATACGCCGTGTTTTGATAGATATAAAGAAATGAAGTTTTAAAATGTGAAAACTTTGATCTCCAAGACTAAATCTAGACTTATCTACAAAGTAATATATTTCCAAATAGCCAGAATAAGATGCATTTTTTCCCCTAAGCCTAACTCTGAATTCCGGATCCTGTTTCTCCTATTGCCAATTTCTAATGTTAGATAAGAATGTAGTTCCTAGAACAAAGAATCCTCTAGGGAAAAAACATCTGTTTTTTTAATTCAAAGCTATCGGGTATAGGAAAACTAATTATAGTTTTAACTATCGGTGTGTTGGTTTATAAAACATGCACCAATGTACACTTTTTCCTTGTAGATTGAATGCAACCATAGAAACATTTGCATAAAAATCTGTGGCCTGGAAGGAATCTATGATGATTATCAAAGAGCCTCAAGTTCCCCTAGTGGCTAGGAGCTGAATAGAGATACTGCACAAGTAGTCCACTGAATCAGTAAGCAGCTGGGATTTGTTTAGTAGTTTAAAGCAAATAATACAAAGTGGATAATGACAACAGTGGGTATCAATTATCATGTTGCTACTTATCTAGGACTGGACTGACTTGGCAACTTTTACAAAAAAGCATTCACTTCACAACATGCAACTTAAGAAACGCAAATGTGCTGGTGCCCTCGTCAGCAAGACCAGCTTGCACACCAAGGTGGGAATGACAGCGCCCGAGACTTACCATTCAAAGATGTTTACAGTCTGTGCTTTAAGGTTACATTTGATATGATCCAATTTTCCTTTGTTCGCTATACATTAAAGTTAAATGCCTTTATGCTGTGCAAAAGATGACCAGGTGAAATATTAATATTTCAACCCATCTGTATACCCTGGAGATTTGGCGGCATAATGTAAGATGAATGCTGCCTACAGGGACTGAGCTGGTGCGAATCCATTTTCTGCTGCACCCAAGTAACTCCAGAGACTAGACATGGCAGGGTAAAGGCAAGTATGACTAGGGTTGCCATCGTGTTGTGAGAGGAGAAACCAGCACTTGATTTTTGAAAGATAGTTTTGACTTTTGCCCCATACTACTTTTAGTATAGTTTGATTTGACTTTAATTAATGGCCATGTAAAATAACCAAAGTGGTTTAAAATTACTTGGATGATCTATGTTTGTCATTGAAATCTGAAATATGCCATCACTAAAAAACCCGAAATAAATAAAAAAAACAAGGAACTAAAACAACAACACACAACTCATTCTCTGTATCATACCTTAAAATAAAACAAAATAAAAAATCCTTGCGCCAAAAATGTTTTGCTCAGGGCTGCCAACTTCTCTTTTTAGCCTAAGACACTGACCATCTAAAAGCACAAACTATGCTTTTAAAAACCATAAAGTAAATCTCTCTATGATAGTACTTTTAAGTGGACCTATTGATACATATGATATAACTAGTCTGTTTTCTTTTGAAAGTATCAGAGCTGAAACATCTTTGGTTAACTCTTTCCTCTACATGCAAAATAAAGTATTCTTATACACCGAGGCTATTTCTCTCTGGATATGGAGTTCGTCGGTGCCATCTAGAAAAGGGGGCAACACAGTGGAAGAGTTGGGAGAAAAACAGAAGAAACCAAGAGAGAGAAAACACCCAAATGCCATGTTGCCAACACTGTTTTGCCTGCTAGAAGAGAAAATACCAATAAGAAATAACACACACACCACAACTATAGCCTCATCCGCTTTTCCAGTGGTTATGAAGGGCACATTTCCGACAACGGGTCAGGATTTAAAGCTGGCTACTTTTAGCACAATTTAGCTAATACAAGGGAAAAAAGAAGTTAATTCCTTAATTGTAGATTACTCCCTCACCATCCAAAAAATAGTGAGGTGAAAATAGGAATGTAAAATGGCAATTTTTAAGAGATTTTTTTCTTTAAACCAATTTATATCAGACCATGGATTATCATCCCAGTTTATCCCCTTTAACCATAAGGACAGAATTATGTGATTAACGTGACAAATTTTTGAGCCAGTATCACAAGCCTGACCCGGTAATTTTTTCCCCTATTAACATCTTTTAAAAGTGAAAATTAAACAACCTATCTTGGCTTGAAGGCTGCCAACCCTTGCAATATACACAAAGAAGGCAAGAAGAATCTGAAGTGTCCCATGCCAAGAACATATTTTCAGAAAATGAAGACAGGCAAGGCCCAAGTGTACGCGAGGCACACAATGAAAAGGAATTTCACCATCTGTGATCTTGAAATTACAAATGGAGAATGAGAAAGAATGAGTTTATATAAGCATATGTTTCTCTATATATTTATAAATATTTATATCATTTACCATGAAGACATGCAAGTAGTGTTACAGCAACTATTATACAAGTATCATACAGAAGGACTGGTCTTCCAATATTACAGTTGCTTCAGTTAAACAGCAAATATGTCTTATCTATTGCATTCCTCTGTAGAGCTTAAAACCGGAGAGAAATTAAGATTCCACACTATGCTACATTTCTTATGGGAGATCATATAGGACTTGATAGTGTTTGGAGTTTCGGTTTTTTTTGTTTTTTTGTTTTTTTTTTTTAAAAAAGCTCCACACAGATAAAGAGAACAACAGAAGTTCAGTGCAGCTTCAGGGCAGCTTTGAGGCAGCATTAGAATGTATTCGCTTGGTGAGGAAATATACTTTTTTGTTTTTTTGTTTTTGTTTTTTTTCCTGTTTTCCAATTCAACCATATTAGGTTTGGCAGCAAACACAAGGTCAAAGAGAAAGCACAGATGTTTGCTAGAAGGCGAATTTCAACAGCAAGCAGACCAATTTACCTGACCTCAATCAGGTCTTTACAGCACAAAACACCTACACAGTAGAAAAGAGCCCATTTGAAAAATCTCGCATAATTTACTTTTGCCGGATTCCTGTTAGCAGAAGAGTGAAATTAGAACAAATATGCTCCTCCTGGCAGCTTTATAAATTGAGGTTACAAGGAAATCAGGTCCCAAAGCCCAAATATTCAAACTAAAACATAGGAGAAGCAGGTAATAAAACATTAAAAGATAAATATTGAGCCTAAATTTATTTCCCCAGACACTCATTCCTTATTGGCTAAATGTATATAAAATACAAAGTTTGAGGATTATAAGCCTCAACAACGTACCTAATTTCTGTTTTTCTTTCTAAATCTCTAAGAGCATGAAGTCACATTCCACAGCATTGTACTTCCCTGGTATCATCTTGGAGGTTGATATTGCAAACAGTCAGTCTCCAGAAGACCTAAGAAAGCAAGGTCTACTCTGGTCGGTCTTCCTTCCACAAGGAGGAAACAGAGGGGGAGAGGTTTCTTTTGTCTTGAAGGGTATTCACCCCACTCTGTCCCTCTGTCCCTAAAGCGCTAACGCCTGTGTAGTAAGCTCTGTTTCGACTTCTCCTTCTTCTACCTAAGTTTCAGTAGCTCTTTTTCACAATAAAAATATACCAAGTTAAGAACTGTTTAACTGTTACTTTTTTCTGTTCCACAGAAAAATATTAGGGGACTAAAAACACAACTGGATTTGAAATTCTCAGCATGTGCTGCTAAAAGCATATTAGAATGTATTGTTAAAATAAGGGAGATTGCATCCGGGGAGATACACTCAACTTTAAAAACAGAAATCCAGGGAGGGTAGTAGGAGTGAGGCAAAGTAAAGGTGTGAACTCTCAATACACCAGTAAACACACAAGCCTTGTGTATATGAGCGCTGGCGCCCCAGCAACAGACTGGTTACAGATCCTCCTATCGGAATAATTCTGACTCTCTAAGGTTGGAAGTTTTGAATGAAAATATTAAAACAAGAAATTTCACTTTTGCTATATAATCTTTAACAATGCCTTAAAAAAACAGGCCAAACCCCATAAAATTCCATTCCATTTCCTACCATCAACTCTTTTGTTTCAAAGGCAGCTGAAAAATGAGAGTTCATTTAATGTCCCCTGTGGATTTTGTTGGATTGCCCCTTCCTATGCAAAGGCATTGATCCCTGATCTGCTTGCTGCCTGCCTTAGGCAATTCCTTATCATATATTTATGTCTTCTTATAAATAATTTATCATGTTACTTTCTTTTGCAAGAGAAGATCAACACTGATTTTTTAAATAGACAGTACAGGGCCACACATGCATCAGGCTGAGGAGGAAGATCTCACACCTTTCACAGAGATGCAGCCCAGCTCCTATCTGCTGAGTTTAGTGGCTGACTTACTCTTCCCTGGGGGCGCTTTGGTGCCGGCAGAGTGGTGGTGGAGGCTGCTGGATCCTTTCAGGCCATTTTTGCTGGGTTTGCAATGCTCCTGTTGGCAGGACCTCCTGGAGGAGGAAGATCCTGAGTGGCTGGGAGGTGACTTGCTTCTCCCCAGATGCGGGGATGAACTCCTCTGGTCATGGTGGGGCCGTCCAGCCCTGGATGGTGAGGAGCTGGACGTGCGAGGCAAGGAAGAGCTTCGAGGAGAGGTACTGGGACTCCTGCAGGGGACAACTGGACTCTTGGGTGGTGTTTTTGGATTGTGAGGGGATCCTGGACTCTTGCACTGAGTAGTGCTCCGGGGCTTCTGAGATCCATTTTGAAGAATTTGGGCCAGGCGGGAGAAAAGGTCTGAGTCGGAATTGCTACTCCCTAGGACTTTATATCTGCGGAGCCTTAAAAGAACAGAGAATAATTCTTTTCATTTTAATTCAACTGTGTCCAGAAAGTCACAGCATCCTAATGATAATGTATATAAAGTGAGTCAAGTCAGCAAACACTGGAAACAGAGTTACTCTTTCACACACCAGTTGTATGAGCCTGGACAAATTACTTAACCTCCTCCCCCCTCCTTTTTTGAGTAAAGTATAGTTGACATACAATGTTATGTTCATTTCAGGTATACGGCACAGTGATTCCACAGCTCTATACATTATAGCGATGTTCACCAGGATAACTTCCATCACCACCTGGCCCCGTATGAAGTTATTACAGTATCACTGACTATGTTCTTTCTGCCCTACTCTCCACCCCTATGACTTACTTACTCTATAACTTAAAGTTCATACCGCTTACTCCCTGCCCCTGTCACCTCTTTCGCCCATCCCTCCCACCCCACACCCCTCTGGCAACCACTGGTTTGTTCTCTGTATTTATGAGTCTGTTTCTGTTTGCTTACTTGTTCATTTTGTGTTTTTAGATTTCACATGTGTGAAAATACCATATGATTTCACTTATATGTATTTGGTATTTGTCCTTCTCTAATTTCACTTCGTATAATACCCTCTAATTCTATCCATGTTGTAAATGGCAAGATTTCATTCTTTTTTATGGCTGAGCAATATTCTATTACATGGATACCCCCCGCCCCCACATCTTTACCATTCATCCATCAGTGGACACTTACATGGCTTCCATATCCTGGCTACTGTAAATAATGCTGCTATAAACACAGGGGTGCACATATCTTTTCGAATTAATATTTTGTTTTCTTTGGGTAAATACCCAGGAGTGAAATTACTGGATTGGATGGTAGTTCTATTTTGCATTTTTTGAGGGAATTCCATACTGTTTTCCATAGTTGCTGCATAAATCACATCCTCACCAGTAGTGCATGTAACCGCTCCTAGCTTTTAATGGGAATGTTATCTACCTCCCAGGATTCCTGAGCAACCAAGAACAATGGCTCAAGTAAAGTATTTAGCTGCCTGACTGCCATTCAGAAGGACTTAAGTGTTGTTAGTCCCTTTCCTCCTATAGCAAGTTTGCTCTTCTTTTTTTAAGTTTTTATTTATTTATTTAAGTAATCTGTATACCCAACATGGGGCTCAGACTCATGACCCCAAGATGAAGAGTCGCACACTCTTCTGACTGAGCCAGCCAGGCACCCTGCCATGTTTGTTCTTCTAATTTTAGGATCAACTTAATGAAATGTCTCTAGCATGTTAGTGAGAAAGAGAGTAAGCCATTTTGTTTAAGGCTCCCACGACAGAAATTTGGCATGTCTATATGCAAACATTAAACCCCACAACATGAAGTGTACTCACCAACAGCAGGAACTACGGATCAAAGTATATTTCAACCTCATTTAACACTTTGCAAAAGGAAAGCATACTCACTGGTTTCTCTGGGCCTCAGTTTCTGTCCCTGACAATAGTCTTGAGATTCAAGAGAGCTGGGTTTGGAGACTGATTGCCCCGTCTTACTGGCAACTGAGCTTGGGCCTTAGAATTCTAAATCTAGAGAATATCCGTATGAATATCAGTGTCTTCTCTGCCCTAAATGTCTTTCTGTCTCAGCCTAAAATTCATTCAGTTAAAGAATTTAAACCTCAAACTGCTGGGGCGCCTGGGCGGCTCAGTCGGTTAAGCATCTGCCTTTGGCTCAGGTCATAACCCTGGAGTCCTGGGATTGGGCCCCGTGTCGAGCCCTGTGTTGGCTTCTGTGCTCAGTGGGGAGCCTGCTTCTCCCTCTCCCTCTGCCCTTCTCCGCTCATGCTCGCTACTCTCTCAAATAAATTAAAAACAAAACAAAACAAAAAAACTTCAAACTGCTGACATGCCACTCCTTAAAGACGGGAGTGGGAGAAGAACTTCCAAGGCTGTATTAGTCCCTCAGGACGCAGGGGCATCAACAGCCATCATCACCATCACAGGTCAGCAACAAGCTCCTGACTTTTTCTCTGAATTTTCTCCCCTCCTCCTTTCCCACCATCTACTCAGTCTAACATGATGAGACTCATTCTGGTTGAGCCTACCCTCATGGGTGTTATAGTAAAATATGAAAAATGGAATAAAAGAATTCTTCTGTGCCAGGACCTACGTGGGAAAGTTGAATGACCTCTCAGTTCCCAGACGAGGCCCAGGCTGGTGAGTTCTGTAATATCTGACACAACGCCACCTGCTTGGCTTGGCTTGGCTGCTAAGTGCCGCCTTTAAGGGACACGTGAAGTGCTAAGTAGTAAGTGATAATCCAGATCTGTTTGCTGTAGTCCAAAGCAGCTCAAGCCACAGATTGCAGCATCTTTATTAAACACAAAGGGCAAGCAGAAGGAGGAGGGGATGTGTGGCTAATGCTCATGGAATCACCTTTCTAAAATGTCTCAAATGACTGCTGTTCCCTCATCGCCATTCTTCCTGTGGAAGTCTAGTCCCACCAGCGCTTCAAATCCAATGTTTGGTTACCCTTGAACCTGAAACCCTATGGCAACTCAGAACTAAACTTAGCTAAGGGGAGCAAGTTCTGCTGGGTAATGACAAAGACAGAATCTCACTTTAACACACTTCAGAATCCATAACAATAATCCATATTGTTGTACTATCTAGAACAGGCTATGGTCTTCATGTATTTTGATTTTCACCTGGTTTTTGTTCAAAGGCCATCCTTTTTCTCATTCTTCTTCAAGGGTTGAGACCATTCTAGTCTGTGGAATGAGTAATGGCTCTCCAAGGAAAGCACTCTTAACTGGTTTAACGCCTCCCAATTTTTTCCCCTCTTCTTTAAAATATAATCACCCTATGGTCAACTATACATGAGAATACTTCAGTAAATAAGTATATACCATATAGTAAGTATTAAAGTAATACTTTTATTATGTATGGCTGTATGTGTCATCAGACCTAGGGAAACTGCCTATAGGGTTTTTGTGTTTGTTTAATTCATTATAATCAGATAAACAGCACTGTGACCAGGACCCATTCATCAAATTATGGACACAAGTCTTTTTCACTAGAATTTGACATCATAATGACATCTCTTATAATGGGATTCTGACTAGAAAAAGCTGGAAAATTGCTGAGTATCTAGTTAACATGGACGAGAAGAGAAGTAACCTAGGCTGCATGCTAATGAAGCCCTGCACAAAGCTCTACATGTATGCAGCCGTATTTGATCCTCCCCAAACCACTAAGGGTCACACTGCTAGAAAGTGGGAGCGCTAAGAATGAACTTGGATCAGTATGACTCCTTCTTCTACACTTGGGAAAGGCAGGGAAGGCAACAGATCATCAGAAGCAGGCAAGAGAGAAATGAAGCCACTGACGTAACATAATCAAGCAGACACAGAGCGGACGCTACACACTTAACACAGTAGGAACACAGGGCATTACCTGGCTTCCACTCCAGGTCTTGTGGGAGGCTTCCCTGGCGGTGGCCGAGGCAAGAACTGAGCTGAAGTTGCGCTACTGACTTGGTCTGTGTTGACCCATGAAACTGGCCTTGGGATTTTGCTCTTTCTGGACTGGGAAATGATGGGTGACAGAAAGCTGTCCTCGGCTGATCTGCTCAGGTGCGAGTCTACAGTCAGTCTCGAAAAGGGAGCAAAGACTTCCTCCTCAGAGAAGGGAGCAGGAACAGTGGCTAGTCTCTCCTCCAGCAATTTATCAGAGGCACTTGAGAGGTCCCCAAGGAAAGACCTGAGTTGCCTTTTTTCCACCAGAAGCCTGACGAGGTCTGGCTGATAAGCTTTCTTTTGGAGGAGCTTTTCTTTTGCAGAGACTGGAGAGGAAGATTCAAAAGTTGAGTCTATCTCTTGTGCTAAAACAGGGATTCGGCTGTGTCTAGTTACAAAGGATGACCTAATCACGTCCTTCCGGGATGGGGGACAATGTTCACTCTCTGAAACACAGTGAAATAATTCTCCATTCCTAGGGGCCACTTTCTCTCCCTTACCCTCTTGGTGCAAAAAAGTAGACAGGTCCCCCTGCTGACCTGGCAAGTCTTCACTCCTGATGTCATCATCCTTAGATATCTTACTTTTTTGCATTGCTGCCACCTGACCTATCTGTCCTTCAACATGTGGGTCAATGACTCGTGAAGAAATTTCTGAAGTTCCAACTGCCAGAAGCTTCATTATCTCATGATTTTTGTCTTGATTTGGCACTACACTAAAAGTCTGTGTCTTTGTCACATCAAGAGGTTCAGTAGTAGCTGAATGATCCCTTTCCGCAGTTACCAAGTCTCCTGGAAGGGAGGCGATCTCAATATAATGCTGCCCTTTACTTAACTTCTCATCTTCATTATCTGACCCTAGAAGATTGCTTTTCTCTTCGGTTTCCCTAGGGAGACTCTCAAATTCTCTCACAGCCAGTCTGTTATGGTCAGGAAGGTCTTTTGGTCCCGGGTCTTGAGATTTATTACACTCTCTAATACTGGGTAACAAGTCATGACCAATATGATCTATCTGAAGCCCCAAGTCTGTTCTGCTTCCTCCACTAGGAGGTTCACCCTCTGTTACAACTAGGCCAGAGAAGTTCTCCCTTGGAGAGTAAAGTTCCACGGTGGGTTCCACAGGCTGAACGTCTTTCTTCTCTGGCTGTTGACCATAGTGAAAGCTGCCTGAAGTTGACTGTGTAGATGCCACAGAGGGTCTAGGAATTGTAATCTGAAGAGACAGGAGAAAAAATATTATGCAACAATATGGAATATAATGAAGATGCATCATTTGAAATTTCACACTTCAAATTCTAATTTAAAAGAGGAACACAAATGTTGACCAGGTCTGTCCAACTCCTATGTAAAATGAACAACTCTGAATCAAAGTACATGACGCTCAAGCTCTCCTACTCAGGAGCTGTACAAAGCAGTCTCCCTCTAGGCTCATCCCTGCCTTTTCTTTAGCCTGCTCTGTGCTCTGCAAGACTGACTTCTACAGACTGCACAACCCAGGCTCCCTTGCCTTCTGATTTCTGGCTGGGTTTGCTCAATGGGCACCAACAGAGCATCAGAGCTGGAGGAGAGAAAGGTCTGGGTATTATTAATATTTTCTTAAAAGATTTATTTGTTTATGAGAGAGAGAGAGGAGGAGCAGAGGGAGAAGGACAAGCAGACTCTGTGCTGAGCGGGGAGCCCGACACGGGGCTCAATCCCAGGACCCTGAGATCATGACCTGAGCCAAAATCAAGAGTCAGATCCTTAACCGACTGCACCACCCAGGTGCCCCAAGATCTGGGTATTAATTTTCTCTGCTTCCTGCCCAAGGGACGGCAGCTTTGGTGGTGGCTACATCCTACCACTTCTGGCCAGAGCTGCTATGGCATGGCCCTTCTCCCAGCTTTTGCTCCTTCTTCCTCCTCTTACAGGACTTAAGATAGAAATGGCTCCCTCCACTGATGGTCCTGTTAGCTCTCTTAACTCTCCCCACACATTTGTAAAAAGCTCTTTTCAGTAAATTCTCTCCAAGTCCCCTTGAGTGTGCCAGCTATTTTCTGCCAGAATCCAGATACAGGATTATAGGAAAAAATTACTGGCAAATTATTGTATGTTTAAAAACTCCAGATTTAGGGGCACCTGGGTGGCTCAGTCGTTAAGCGTCTGCCTTCGGCTCAGGTCGTGATCTCAGGGTCCTGGGATCAAGCCCCACATCGGGCTCCCTGCTCCTCGGGAGGCCTGCTCCTCCCTCTCCCACTCCCCCTGCTTGTGTTCCCTCTCTTGCTGTCTCTCTGTCAAATAAATAAATAAAATCTTAAAAAAAATAAAAACTCCAGATTTACATGCATCTTGTTTCCCCCATAACTCCTATCAATCAAATAATGTTAGAAATATTTTATCTTCCTATAAGCAAAGATATACAAAGATGTTCCCTAATGTTTCATTATCTTCTTTAATTTTTTAAGGTCAAGCCTATGATAAATTAAATTCTACCATCCCTCCACAGAGGTCATTTCAATTCTATGTGAATGAGATTCAATGTCTAATAAGAAGGTCCTATCTTAAGACTCCTGAAGTTTCTACGTTTCCACATTTGTTAAAAGTAACATGTAAGAAAACAAAAGTGACACGTAAGGAGGCAGCAAATGTCAACCACATAAACTGGTATGGAAAAAAAAGCCTTTCTGAGAAATGAAATAAGTCAAATTACTTAATGAAGCCAATTTAGTCCGAGGAAAACTATGGAAACTGGTCTGAATTCAAAGCAAAATGAATTTGGAACTGTCATAGGAGATTATGCTCAGACCCCATTTTAGTCCAAAGACATCAAGAAATCAATGTTGTTCCAGAGTCAGAGAAATGGTCTGGATCTGTTTCTCTGTGTGTCAGGAATACAATTAGGTTTAAGAACATGTAAAGCTTGTCCTGAGCCCAGCCCAGGAGAAAACACCTAACTAATGTCCTGAAATAGCTCCTGAACAGAACCAGTATCCTGAGGATCTGTCAGGTTAATTGAATGAAGACAAGCTGTTTGGGTTCAGATGTGAATTCTTACAATAAACCCAGACCTATAATGACTTCGGGAAAAGGGAGTAAGTTCTAGCAGTGCTGCTGCCCTTCAGGAAGTCACCTCACACTTGTATCTCTTCCATTATTCTAAAATATAATCAGGCAGATGGCAATTTTCTAGTGTATTTTAAAAATCATATAGAAACCTAAAATGTATAGTTACTTACTAGTCAAAATGTAATTTTTAAGACCCAAGAGTGATGGTGATAAGAAAATCAGGGAAGAAGTTATAAAAATGCCAAATAACAAGGGAGATGATTCTACCTACATTGAAAATAAACCAATAGTCACTTCATTATTATATGTAATTCCAAAAACATCAGCCAAATTAAACTCAGCAGTGTTTAAAAAATAACAGTCCACTGCTCTTTTGAGACTAGAGCTAGGGAATCCATGCACTTCTGAGCTTAACTCATCTTAGATTCAGAATATAAAAGGATGTGTGTGTGTGTGTGTGTGCGTGTGTTATGAAAAAAAGGGATGACAATCTTGTACACAGAAAAGATATAGGAACCACCAGACGGGAGAATATTTTCTTGAAAAAGATTCTGAGCACTTACGATAAACTGCATAAAATACTCTCATATTAATATTTCTATAGCACTTTACATTTCTAAAATATTCCTAAAACCATTTTTACTAACTCCATTTCATATCTATTTTAATTGGGTGCTGTTATTTACACAAATGTCACAAATGAGAAAAAAACCTGGTCCAAAACAGTCAGGGATAGGACTTAAGAATTTTGAAAACCAAGCATAGCATAGCACACCCTCCTGACATGCACTAATACTCAAATGAAGTTTGGAAAAAAGTCTGCAAAAATATTATCTGACGAGATAAAAGGAGAAAATCCAAAGATCAATAGCCAAATGTAGAAAAAGGAAGACTAATTCTAAGCATAGCTGAGAATAACTTCCTTAACCTTACACTGTAAGACACAAAAGCAATTTCCATATTTGGGACACTTTACAAACAGACTAAATCAATGATCCACCAGTAAGCCATATGCATCTTTTATATCTTTAATTTCTATAATTACAAACATCTCATTAAGGCATGAATTCACTCATGTCCTTTCTTCTGCTAACTGTGTAAGGTGACACCTTTTTACAGAACTAGAAAATGACCTCAGTATTTCCCATTTCTTTAATGTTAGTTTTACTAATGCCTACTACTCAGTTTGACTAACATCAGTCTCATTACTGTTTAGTTCAGATAAAGCAGCCTCATTATTTATAGTTATCCCATGTTTACAACTGGCCAGATAGCAAGAGACAATAAACTGCAACCTAACTATTATTTACGTTTAACTTATAATTACCCTTTAACTTTCATCTAATTCAAGGATTGTATTAAGATAATAAAAACTTCGGGAATCCAACATTCCTACCAAATAGCCTCTCTTCCAAATAAAAGGTATGTGATATATGAAATATCTAGATCTCATTTTGGTTTTTTTGATAAATACTTTATGAGATACAGGTAGTAGAATAACTTATTGGTTCCTACTATTGCCAAGAGTAACGGAGTTATATGAACACATTCCTGGTCTATTAAAAAACTTAAATTTTAAACATTCACATTTCTTTGGGCCATTCAAATTCCCCAAAGACTTCTTTTGTTGAAAGCATTTTTATGTGATACTTTATACAAGTGTGGAAAATTATGAATAAAACCAAAATACTATTATTGAACCATGTTTTTAATATGTCAAATTTTTATTTCTAGAAAGAGTGCACAGCAATGATAACATTTGAGTAATAACCCTACATGCTAACACAACGTCCCACTCTCTCACTCTTTACCCCTACTGCTTCCTCGGACCACATTTGTGCTGGTTACTATTGTTGAAGACGGTGCCATAGTGTGACTTGGCTTATGGATAGGGGGCTGGTGGGAGGGGGAGTGGGGCAGGCAGCAGTCTGCTACACAGTTGGGGAAAACTGAAAACCTGAAGCCTCAAGACCTAAGTAAACAAAAAGTAGAAGTTGCTTTTTGCCTTCCCTGTTATCCCACTCCTCTGAGACAGTCACTCCTCATTAATAGTTACAGTGTATTTAGTGGGATTGGAAACTCTAAGAATTTTGTGGGGGTGCTAAAAATCATAAGCAAGCCATAACTCACACCCAAAGATTAGAAGTCACAGAAAAGACAGACTGAAATAAAAATATTTTTGGCTGGCCTGTGATTACACATCACATACATGACTACAGGATTTCACGGTCCGTTTTCAAGCCCCTTCATGCAATATTGGAAGAAATTCAGGTTTGAATCTAGTTCAACTATTCCCAACTTCCATAACCTACAGATTTCTTTTTTTTTTTAAAGATTTATTTATTTATTTATTTGAGAGAGAGAGAGAATGAGAGATAGAAAGCACGAGAGGGAAGAGGGTCAGAGGGAGAAGCAGACTCCCTGCTGAGCAGGGAGCCCGATGTGGGACTCGATCCCGGGACTCCAGGATCATGACCTGAGCCGAAGGCAGTCGCTTAACCAACTGAGCCACCCAGGCACACTAACCTACAGATTTCTATCATAGCATCTGTAACACTTAAACTGAGTTTCCTCCCTCTACTAGCCTGAAGTCCCCTGAAAGCAGTGAGAAGACTCCCTGGGCTTTGAATTCTTTGATGCCTAGTCCAGTACTTGACACACAGGAAATGCTTGATAACTGTTGAACACATGACTGACTCGGTCACTGGATGCTTGGGTCCTTTCCATGAAGCCTCTCCCAAGGGGCAGTCCAGTCCATTATTTGAACACTTCACAAATGGCCTTTCTTTACTTCCCACAGACCATCCAATTTCTGGTCTTTTCTGTTCACAGACTGAATTACACTATCATAGATAATTTCAGAGATGTAACCGCATACAAACAAAACTTTTCTATCATTATAATGACCAAATTTTCCAGATCAAAAATAGGTATTCATGGTCAGACGGAGGACATGTGGCCACTCCCCAGTCAGGGTACATGCAGTCAATGCAGATTTCTCCTGCAAAATCCCTTTCAAGTTAATAGGTGGCAATTATTCCAGAAAGTCTTTACCTTTTCACATGATTAAAGTATACTATTAATACCTTCCATGGATCATTCCTTTTTTCAGTGGAGGCTCTTAGTAGCTCCATGAACTTCCACATAGTCCCTCTAGTTTATACAAGGGCTCCAAACAGTCAGTGGAACACATTTCACTGGGAAAGCCACATGAAACTACTATTTCAAATAAGTTGTACCACTAAAATGTCTCTCAAGTTCTCACTGCAATTGTCACGGTTCAATCCCTCATCGTATTTGCTTGGATGCCAAAGCCTCCTCACTGGCTGCTGCCACAGCCCATTTTCCCCCCACTCAGCTCCCAAACAGCATGTTACTCCTTTCCCTCCATCTTGGCAGTTTCTTGTCCACAGCCCACACACCTCGGCAGAGCTGGCCAATGCCCTTCATCACCTTACCTTCTGTAGTTCATCTTCAGCCTTTTTCCTTTGTCCTAAGGAAAGGGCACTTAGATTCTAGATCACTTATTTAAATACTCTGAACTCCGGTGCTTTAAGTCTCTATGTCTCTGCACGTACTGTGTTCTTTGCTTGATGGCCCTGCATTTCTTCCGGCAATCTAATTTATCCTGCAGAGTCCTCTTACTTTTGAAGTGCACCTTAATCTCCCCAGAAAAAGATTTTTAATTTCCTCCCCAATTATGAAAGTAGTGTATTTTTAAAATTTCAGTTTTCACGGTAAAAAAAAAAATTAGAAAATGAAGAACAGTTTCGACAATAAAACCCCCCAATATCACACTCCTCAGTCCTAGGCAGATCCGTCTGTGTCCCCAGTTATGTACACAGCTCCACCAGAATCGCTTCATGTTGTTTAAGGTAACTGTTAGATGTGGGCCTTCAGTGCCAACCTGGCAGGGTGGTACCAACTGATTATCCCTGGGGTATAGCATAAAGCCTAGAACTCAGGAGACACTGAATAGAACTGAAGGAATGAAAAGAACAGAATTAAGGCAATGCAATCACTGCTGATCTGATTTTTGTAGGACTGGCATTGGTACTCCTGTAAATAGTCAGAGGAATCCTCTTTTTTTTTTTTTTTAAGATTTATTTATTTATTTATTTATTTGAGAGAGAGAGAATGAGAGATAGAGAGCACGAGAGGGAAGAGTGTCAGAGGGAGAAGCAGACTCCCCGCCAAGCAGGGAGCCCGATGTGGGACTCGATCCCGGGACTCCGGGATCATGACCTGAGCCGAAGGCAGTCGCTTAACCAACTGAGCCACCCAGGCGCCCCAGGGGAATCCTCTTAATAGATACTGACTACCAGACAGATCACACAAAAAAATTATGTGACTCCCTTTCTTTCTGTCCTGCTCCCACTGTGTGCATTATTGTACACTCCCTTTCTTTTTCTCAATGGCTAAGAAGTCAATGAGAAAATTCCTTCAGTATGTTGATAATCCCCTGGTGTGGGGAACAGAACAGAGAGTCTACTCTACCAGCCACCTGCCTCTTTACAGATCATCATGGCTTGGTCTCATCAGTGCTAAGAAGGACAATATTCCCTCTGCTTGCTGCATAGACTTGTTGTTAGGATCAATATCAAAGTAGTCTATGAAATATAAATGTAAGATAATATGGTAGCCAGTCTCTAAATGGCCCCCAATGACCTCTGCCTCCTGGTATTCATACCCTTGTATAGTCTGTCCCACATCATAGCAGACTTGGTCTGCGTGACCAACAGAATGCAACAGAAGTGATGGTATGTCCCTTTTGAGATTAGGTTATAAAACAAACTATGGCTTTCATCATGGTGGAGGCTTCTTCATGCTACCACCGCGCCCCTCCCCCATCTCTGTCTCTTTCTCTCCTCACACTGTGAGACAGCCAGCTGCCACGTCAAGAATGGAGAGGCCCATGTGGTGAGGAACCGAAGCCTCTGGCCAACAGCTACTGAGGAACTGAAGCTTGCCAACGGCCACTGAGTGTACCTGGAAGTGGACCTTCCCATCCGGTTGAACCCTGCAATGATTTCAGCCCTAGCTGACAGCCTGACAGCAACCTCATGAGACACGCTGAGCCAGAACCATTAGAGTGAGCCACTCCTGTGCTCTTAACCCTCAGAAACAGGGTGAAATAACTGTGTTGTTTAAAGCTGCTAAATTTGAGGTAATTTGTTACCCAGCAACAGGTAACATATTGGTGGTATTATTATTCCCCAGTCACATTTATACTGCTTCCAAAGGTAATATTAAAATGAAGCACTTCCACTTCTACATTACTTTTCAAATCCAACCTTCTCCCTACCAACAGTGATTACCCAATGTCATAAAACTGGTCACATTCTTCCCTACAGTTCCTGTCATTCTGGACCAGTAGTCAGACCTCTTTTGGAAGCAGTTCATTTTCTTTTCTCTTTCATCTCTACCCCTGTTTGTTTATGCTAGCTTAACTTTGTCTCTTCATTTTCTAATCAAAACATAATCTAATATTTCTCCTGTAAGCCAAAGGTTGGTCTTATTTACTCCCTGTAAATCCATGTTGTTTAGCATCTTTTTAGAAATGACTGACAGTGGGCAAATTTCAATACTGTTTACCCAAGGAAAAAAATTTAATTTCCAACATAGCCCCAAACCAATTTCTTTCAAATCTAGCAAATTTATCCATCTTTCAAAATATATTATCTAAAAAGTTTACACATGCTATTTGATAATCAGCGGTTTCATGTATAGGGATAAGGGAAGTCTTGACGAAGGCTCATAAATCTGCACTAAGAAATAAAGAGAACTAGGGGGTGCTAAAGTTCTCATTCGTTAGTTTATTATGCCAAATATGCCTGTAATATAAACTTTTGCTTTGCCCATTTTCGTAGTTCTTACATATTTTAAGACATCAGTATACTTTCCCTTCATAAAAGAGAAACAAGCCTGAGTGAAAAAGATACAAACTAACAAAGTGTTTCCCATCAGAATATGTCTTAATTTAAAATATTCAGATAGCCCAGTAATATGTTTTAGCATATCATCCAAGCTAGAACATTATATTCAGAGTTACAAGAGATACGGAGAGGCTAATTGGCAGTACTCCCTATTTAATGTGTCTGTAGTAGATTAGGGAAATATTAATGTCTGCTTTGCAAAAGTAAGCTCTGAATTTAAGCCTCAAGAAGGGAATCAAGATAAATATATTTTTAATCTAATCCCTGCCCAAGTGAAGGCAATGGTAGGTTTATTACCTTAGACATAAGTATACAAGTGATGTAGCTGTTATTTCTTTAGAGACCTTCTTCAGTTAAGAAAAATGCTTTTATTTAAAGATATCTGAAAATAAGATCAAACTTATAATATCAAATATATGAATACAAGTCTTTCAATAACTTGACAGAGAAAATGCTGCAGACAGTGTAAGAGAACCATGAGAAAAGTCTTTGTGGACCAAACACTGCTGATGGGAAAAGGCAAAAAATACTAGGAGAAGTGGAGTCACGGCCGTAGAAGCGTCTTTGAAGGGAAGCATGCCAGGATGCGGTGAGCAAAATGCTTGAGCGGCAGTGAGTGTGCAGCAGGACAGAATTGCAGAAAAGAAGAAACTGAACGTGGGAAGAGGGAAAGAGGGAATGAAATAGGGAAGAGGAAAGGCGGGAGGAAAAAGGGATAAGGGGAAGGGAGGGAGGTGGCTGGATTTGCCTCTAGTCCATAGGTTACCATGAACAATTTGCAAAAAGATGCTCCTCAAAGAGGAAACAGATGCGCACAAAGATGCACAGTTTGGTTAGCAATGTTTGGGCTAGAGGTCCAGCTGATAAGCTTTCTTTTGGAGGAGCTTTTCTTTTGCAGAGACTAGAGAGGAAGATTCAAAAGATTTCAGCCCCTACTTGCTCCCTTGGCTAGGCCACTTTATTCAGTGAACAACCTGTACAACTGTAGAAAGGAGTCCTGCAAATAAAGGAAAGACTAACTCTGATGAAGAATGAGGCAGGCATTTATTTTCCTATGTTGAAGTGCAGACGAATTCCTACAGAGCTATACACAAAACCAAATTTTGTCATCTTTTCTCACCGTTTCACACCTGCATTTGGAATTGTGTTCTAATAAAAAACATTTCAGCTTGGGGAACAATGTTGTTTCTGGTGAGTTGGAAGAGATGGCTGCTAGATGATTAGGGAATTTAAGGAAATCTGGTACTTGCACCCATGTAAGGACAGATGTACCTGTCCTCAGGCTGGTGCCAAAGATCTGTGTAAACAGTTCCTTACTGCCTCCATGTTTGGCTTTTCCAGGAATCCTGCTGCTCGCAGTCATAGGGGGATCACTGATCACTGACAGTAACAGGGTAATAGGCGTCTCCAGCTGAATGCCCAAACTGAGAGTAAAGAGGACGGTTTCTTCAAGATGATGCTTTACAAAAGACCTTTATCACAATTGCTTTCAGCTACTTGTTAAAATGCAGACTCCTGGGCTCACTCTATCCCAGACCTCTTGAAGTAGAAGTTCTGGAAGAGAGGCCGGAACTCTGTATTTTAAACAACAGACTTCAAAGCTGGAAAACTATGTTTAAGAGTAATGTACAATATGACAAATTTCTGTGTGGAGATTACAAAAAAAGGCAACAAAGAGAATCAAGCCTAGCCAAGTGTACTCTATGAAGTACAAACCACATATGCCTTCCTCACCAGATTTATAACGTAGAGCTTCAAAACCTCTAGAATTACAAATTCTTAAAGTCATAGCTAAACGCATAAATAGATAGCTCTTGTGGTCTAATTATAGATGTTATTCTGAAATTAGGTTATAATGACACTTCATGTGTTGAGTTGCTGTCCTGACAGGAAAGCTCGCTTGTTTTGAGAAATTTCATACTGGATGACTGACTCTAGAACTTAGTCCAGACATCACTCCCTAGCCCCATCCACCAAACTTAGGCATCTGCTGAACAATCTTAGTTGATCAACTGTTCATTCTCTTTTAACAGCACCTTGAGTGGGTAACAGAAAAATAACTGGAACAAATCTCTTACCGCTGTGAGGGGTCCTTCTGCTTGCGCCTCCATTGGACTTGTGGGTGTCACTGCAATAAACGGGCCCGCAGTCTGGAGTTCTAACCTATCCGCATACTGTTCTGAAGCAGCAGCGGCAGGGCACTCCCCAGAAAGTGCTAAGACCACACCTGAGGGTTCTTTCTTTAAATGATTGCTTTCTGCCCAAGGACCCAGTAGGAGCTTCTCATCTTGAGGCGATTCCTCTAAGACCTGAAGTACTTCAGGCTCCTCATCAGAAGGGCTTCCAGTTGTTTTATGGCCTAAAGCCTCATTTGTCCTAAAATCCCGAAGGTCCTGCTCCTTGTCCACAATCACCCATTCTTTGGAATCAACCTCCTGCTTGCAGGAGCTCAAGTTAACTGCTATAAATCCATTGCTGGCACCGCCATCTGCCTGTTCAGGGGTGTTGGCAGAGGCAGGTTTTGAAGCATCTGGAAGATATTCTTCATCATAGTGCCAGATGTGGTCAGTACGGGACACGGGAGGAACACAAGGCTTATGAAGCAGAGCAGGGAGAAGAGATTCCTTTCCTGCACTGGACTCTTTCTGCATTTTCTCCAGGCTTAAAAAAACAGAGAGAAGTTACTCATCTGCCCTTGGAAAACATTTATTACATAAACTATAAGCTCTATACAGAACTAATATTCACACATAGATGAGAGAATAATATATAAATAAAGCATAAGGAAAGTTTCACAGGCTGATAATGTTCTTCTCCCCCTGTTATAACCCAGTTTTGGAAGATGGGACCCCCAGGAGGAAGATGGCTCTCCTGCTGTAGGGCAGGGGACAAGCCTACTCAGGTTGCCTGATGGGATCTCTTTCACCTTTTCTTTGCCAATTCAATCACACTGCTCTCTGCTCTCTCTGGGGGACTGAGGCAGAATTGAGCCAAGGGGATTTTGCTTCACCAGAAGCCCTATAAAAGGAAATGAAGAAGCTAGTATAGGAAAGGAAATAGAGAAGCTAGGCAAATACTTCATGTGTTTTGTCTTCAGAGATGTATGTAAATATAGAATCATTCAAGTAAACTCCAAAGGCAGGAATTTTAAGAAAAGCTACTACACCTGCTCAAGCATGCCCAGCCCACTCTGTACACAGTGGGGCACACAGTGGTGGGGGGTGGCCACGGTGGCGTGCAGGAAGCTTCAAGATGTATTGTCAGTTGGGGTGGATTAAAAGGCAGTTGACACAGTATATGAATCTGTCTGCTAGCCAAGGGGCAGGCAGTGGTGTGACCATTTGGCTGCACTTACTACTACGAACTGACCTCATCGTCAGGGAAGCACTTGAAGTGATATGTTTTTTCCTTTCCAAGTTTGTAATTAGGTGCTTCAATTCCTTCAACTGTTTCCTACTCATTCTAGGTTCTGGCCTGAGTTCGTTTTCTTAGATTACTTCTGTTTTCTCAACTCTGTCTTATTTCTTAGCTCCTCCCACAGCAGGGACTCTCTTTTTAGTTCCATTCTTTTATTAAATGAATTCTTTACCAAACTAAGCTTTTTTCCTTATTGCCTTTAAATAACTATATAAATCCTAAATTCCTAATCTTAGCCACAGCTCGAAATGTTTAAGCACTGCCCCAACTCAAATCCATTCTTTTGATCATATTAATGTGATCAAAATGATTAATATGATACAAGTTTCTATCACGTAGCTGTGAGGCTGAATGATTACATGCAAGGAAGAATACATATATACAAAGGACTGTCAAAAATGGAAGCTAGATTAGATTAGGCTGAATTATCTTGGACACAGTAACTACCGTGTCAGTCAAATACATGGTCCTTCTAACCTAACATTTCATTGCCAATAGCAGCCACCAGGATGTACATTGAAGGGTGTGTGACTATCACTAGGCACTCAGCTCTTCATATTACTGTAGCCTTCTATAATTCATAACTATATCCCAAATTCTTTCTAAAGTTTCATTTCTGTCTTCTGTTATCAAAATGTGGGAATAATGGGACTTATAAACATGAACTATAGTTATTACCTATGTATAGCTCTCTGAAGTTCCACCTTTCCTTCTTTCTGGGAAGAAATGATAAACTTATTCGTGTCTATTTTCCCTACAGTACTAACTCATTAAAGTGAATTGAATTGCCTGTCCCTTGTGTATAAATTACTTGTTTCCCTCCTTCATATACGCCCTTCCTTCCTCTCTCATACCTTCTTCATCATGTACTCTCCAACTCTACACTGCATCTTCTCATTCCAATAAAAGAGATCCCTTACAAACAAAGTAAGTTCAAAATGTTCATTGAACTTATACCTGGTGTCATAAAGTTACCAGCTCCCACTGCTCAGCTCCCAAAGCCAAAGGTTTTATTACAGAACTTGTAACAATTTTATAAGACAATTCACATTAAGAATCACAATGATAATTAAAAACATGGATAGAGATGAGAATTTAATCAAATCAGTACTACAAAAATGCAAAAATTTCTTATTTGAAAGACTATGTAATAGAAATTCATAATGATGATAATGATGATGGCAATTATAGTACCTTAGTAGCTTTAAAGAAAAAGGAAAATTATTTTATACCAGGTCTCAAGAAACTTGTCAGTATCTGGCTTTGGCTCCAGTGTAAGACGTTTTTCCAGCTCAAAGCTGTGGATGGAACGTAACTTCCGCACCAATGGAACATCTCTGTCTGGCTGAGTAATCTCTGAGCGGACACGAATTGGTGAACCAAGGCTTGGAGCATTCAGAATACCATTTACTTGACCATGGCTGTTCTCTTCTTCGGTAGCAGCCTAGACAAAATATAAAAGAAAACAATGAAAAACGTTCAGGTGACTCTATGTGTAGCAATCATTGACGTCTTTCAAAATAATATAAACAAAGGCTTGGGAGGTGTTTTCAGAAATCACGATATTTTGGATAGTCGACATCATTACATACTTGTCTACTAACCCTTCATAAAATGAGTTTTCTTAATTTATTCTCAGTTCAGTATTATTTTAGTTTTTTATATTTGTGGTACAAAGATAAACAGTCTAAAAATGTTTACCCACCTTGACTTTTTGTATTATGTCTAATGAGATGCTTGTAGGACTCCATTCCTCTAAACTAAAAATAAAACCTGGAAAGGTTTTCTTGGAGACGCAGGTGGTCTCACAAGAGGTAGGATGGGTCACCACGCCTGAATATCCCCTCTTGTTCCTTCTCTAAAAAACAAGCGAAAAACCAAACAAAAACAAGAAAACCTGGAACTAGAAAAATTAGCTGGGTAGAGAAGAAGGAGGTTGAACATGATGCAGCTCTGAGCAGTGGGGTTGCCTAAGGACAGATGCCCTCAGTAGTATATTTACCAGAGAAATTAAACCTGATCCCAGTAGTGGGGTGAGAGAGGGAAGTCTGGTATGTTTATTCTGATTAGAGACCCACAGAAGATGCCCAACTGGTCTCAAATTGGGGGTCTACTCTGGCTACCAGCAGAAGCAGAAGACAATCTTCTCTGAAGGAAGGCTTCCCAATCCCCAATTTAGGTCTACAGGACTGTCATCAATTATTAACTAATAAGTAAAACACTAAAGATAGTCAAACACAAGAAGGCATGCCCATGACTAAGAGCAGAAATAATAATTTTATTTATTTATTTTTTAAGATTTTACTTATTTATTTGACAGAGAGACACAGCCAGAGAGGGAACACAAACAGGAGGAGTGTGAGAGGGAGAAGCAGGCTTCCTGCGGAGCAGGGAGCCTGATGCGGGGCTCGATTCCAACCTGAGC